TTTTGTCCTTGGCTCTGTTAATAAGGTCTATTATAGTTATTGATTTCCATGCTTGAATCTCTGGGATAAATCCAACTTGGCCATGGTGTATAATGTTCTTGATGATTTGCTGCATTCTGTTTGCCAGTATCTTGTTGAGGCATTTTTACATCAATGTTCATTAGAGAGACTGGTCCTAGTTTTCTTTTTTGGTTGGTTCCTTCTCTGGATTTGGTATCAGGATAATGCTTACTTCCAGGAATGAATTTGTGAGTATTGTTTCCCTTTCAATTTCATTAAAGAATATGAGAAATAGTGGCATTCTGGCTTCCTTAAATTTCTTGCAAAATTCAGCCATAAATCCATCAGGACCAGAGCTTTTCTTCTGGGTCAGTTGTTAATATCTTCGATTTCACTGACTGATACGGATTTATTTAAAATATTTATATCTTCTTGGTTCAGCTTTGGTAATTCATATGTTCTTAAGAATCTCTCCACTTTTTCTGCATTCTCCTTTCTATACAAGTTCTCAATGTAGATAGAGATTACCTTCTGGATTTCTGCAGGATTTGTTGCAAATTCACTTTTTTTTCATTCCTAATTATATGGATAAACCAGACACGCATATGTAAATGCCACATTGTTTTCTGGTGTGAAAAACCAAAAGTATAAAGAAGGACCAAAATGTACAATAGATAGTGTGAAACAGGAAGAAAATGTGCAAATGAAAAAGGGAACTAGGGAGGGGGCAGGGGAAAGGAAGGAAAGGAAAAGAAAAAAACTGAGGAAAAAAGGACCATATGGAAACACTGCCTTTGTAAATAGGAGGGGAGAGGGGTTGAGTGGAGGGTAGGGAAATGGGAAAGAAAAAAAGTATCAAGTTATGTCAATCAATGTACAGGCACAGATCCCCTACTATGGATGTCCTCAGTATGTATACCTCAAATGTACCAATAAACTTAATTTTTCAAAATATATTATAACCAAAAATGTTCATTTTTACCCCAGGATTGCTAGGACAGGTCAAAATTAGATTATCTAGCAGCTTAATATGCTAAAGACAAAAATAATGTTCACTGTTACATTTTGGATCTGCAGTGTCCCCCAAAGTCCTGTGTGTCCAAGGTTTAGGTCTCCAGCCTGCAGTGCCTCTGGGAGGTGGTAGAACCACTAGGAGGTGCGACCTAGTTGGAGAAAGGAAGGTCACTGGGGCTGCACCCCTGAGAGGGAGATTGGGGCCCCAGCCCCAGGCCCTCCCTCTCTCAATTTCGCTTCCCTAACAAAGGAATAGTGACAACCAGCAGGGACTGAAATTTCTGCAATCAGGAGCCAAACTTCCTCCTTTAAACTGCTTGCATTGGGTATAATATCATACAATCAAAAAGTTAACAAAGTAGTAAATGTGGAAAAGCGACATTCAGAAAATTCAACACCAATTTATTAAAAA